AAAATTATGAAAGGGTTTAATCAAGGGTTTGAAACATATACTAAACACTTAAAAAGGATAAGATTTGATTGGTTTTGATTAAGTTTTGGAAAGAAAATCCAACCCCTATGATTGATGATTCAATTCGTCCAAGGAGAGAGAATGGGGTTAGAGTTAGATTTGATTTAATTTGATGCTTCCAATGTGTTTAAATAATGAAATAGTGTAGGGAAACACCAAGAAAGGAAGCTTGGAAGCATTAAAATTGAACATGAAAATTTTGTTTTCTAAGATACCCAATTCAGCCAACACTGATTTTTAGGGAAGGAGTTGGATTTTCATAAATATAAGCTCATATTTGGATTTCTTGGGCAAAATTGTATAGAATTGCCAAAATTTGGGATGTTATAGAATGCTTCACCGCGGCGAAGTTATACCTTCACCGTGGTGAAAGCCTAATATCAGCAATGCCAGATCTGGATCAGAACGCAAAAATAGAGCCTCTAATCATATGATCTGACCCATATTGACCCTCTAAACCCTGAGAAACCCTATTTTTAAAGAGGAACTCCATTTTATCATCTCCAACACCTCTATTCTCTCATCTTCTTGCCTCTCCATCTCCATCTTCTTCCCTATTCATTTCCTTCCCCTTTCCTTTACTTCATCTCATTTCCTTCCACTCCCAGCTGCCATGGCTGACGAATTCACTTCGGTTGGAGCTTTTCTTGAAGCTATGAAGGGCTAGGGTTTATCAACTCTTGAAGAATAGTGGAGTGTCATGAGTTTCCAAACTTCAAAGGGAAGTTTAGTTTCAGTTTTCAATTTTTAGCTACGATTTATGGCTTTCTAGGTCTAGGAGTTGTAAATTGTTAGTTAGGAACTTGGGATTGAGACTGTAATTATTGGTTAATGATTACATTTGTAGTTAGATTGATTAATGTAGAACTTTATGCTTAAATATATGTGGTCACATATATGCTTCTTTGTAATTCTCTTGATTCTCTCTCATCTTGTATGGTTGTGTATTGATACTGAGTTGATTGTGGGTTACATTGAACCAATTGCATTAATCATTCTTAAATTACACATTAGGGGAGCTTAACAATGTTTTTATTAATGAAGTTCATTGATTTAAACATTGGACTCAATGAGTTATGGAGGTTGTTATTAAGAAAACCTAATGGATTTGTGGAACTCCTAATATCTCAAGTGAACTATGATTGCCATCAAAACCATTCTCAAGAGATTTCCTATCATTCATTTCCATTCCATCATCATTATCCAAAAATATCAAAAATATAGTAGTTTAGGTTTGTTTTCATTGCATTTAGTTTAGTCACCATTCATTTAAATCTTAAAAACCAAACCCCTTTTCATTACATTGCAGGCCTTTAGTCTAGCTTAGGCAACTAATAAAGGCTCCCAAAAATGAAATGACCCGAGTTTAACTATACTGTATAACTTGGATTTATTTTTGATTGAGAACCCTAAGGTGAACGATAAAGGTCATCATCAACAAGCTATTTCAAAATTTCTTAAATCAAATATTTTCTGTAGGTATGGGATCCTTAAGGCTGTAGTGAGTGAAAGGGGTATACATTTCTATAATAGGATTGTTGATAACTTTATTTCAAAATTTGGTGTCACTCACAAAGTCTCCACTGCTTATCACCCCTAAACTAGTAGTCAAGCTGAGATTTCAAATAGAGAGGTTAAGCATATACTGAAAAAGATAGTAAAGCCCTCCGGGAAAGACTAGAGCTTACTTTTGGAAGAGGCATTATAGGCCTACCGGACTGTATACAAATCACCCATTGGCATGTCCCCTTACTGCTTGGTTTTCAGTAAAGCTTGCCATCTACCAGTGGAGTTGGAACACAAAGTGCATTGGGTAGTCAAGCAGTGCAACATGAACATAGAGTCTTCTGGAATGTAAAGGAAGCTGTAATTGCAAGAGTTAGAGGAGCTTAGACTAGAAGCTTATGAGAACCCCAGATTGTACAAGGAGAAGACTAAGTTTGTGCATGACCAAGGAATCTTGAGGAAGAACTTTAAAGAGGGAGATCGAGTACTATTGTATAAGGCTCGTTTCACCTTCAAACAAGGAAAATTGAACACATGCTAGGACAGACCATACACAATCCCGAAGATGCACAACTTTGGCATGATTGAGCTTCTACATAAGGAGACTGGAGCCAGATTTAAAGTCAATGGCTATCTATTAAAGCTTTACTATGAGAATGAAAAGCCTCCTTAACTCTTAGGTTATTTCTTTCCTTTACTCCTTTACTTTTTTTTGCCTTGTATTTGCTCATGATATATTCTAGTGCATTGGTCTGCTAAATAAGTGTAGGGGAGAAACCCCTTCAGTAGCTTAGTTTTAATGTAGTTAGTATCTTTCAATTCAATAATATTCCCTTTTAGTTCTGATCTTTGCTTTTTGTCCTGATGTGCTTAATTGTTATAGTGTCGCAAATTGATAAATTATCTGATTTTATTTACTAGAGAAAGTTGCTACTCTAGATTGTGTCTTGTGCTACCTTGTCTTGAGCTTATTGGGCACCCTTTGATCTTAAAATGTGCACTTGAAAGTTTCTGGAGTATCCAGCTACCCTCCTTTGTTTGTGTGCTTATTTTTCATTTCTGCTGTGTTTGTTCCTACTATGTAGTGTTGTCTCGGGATACTTTCGCTGCGGCGAACTCTATCTTTTGCCACAGCAAAGCTTCCCCAATTTCTGTGTCTTACTCTCGGGATACTTTCACTACAGTCAACTTCTGGTTTTACCGCAGTAAAGTCCCAATACTTAGGTTGTGTACCCCTTGGGATACTTTCGCCGTGGCATAGTCTCCACTTCACCAAGGTAAAGTCCCCTTTCTTTCTTCTCTTAACCTCTTAGGACGCCTTCGCCACGGTAAATGTAATATTTCACCGCGTTAAAGAGCTGGATTCTGCACAAAACTGGTTCGCTTAACCCTACTTCTCTATGTCTATTTACCATCCTACCCTCCATAACTGCCTACCCATTCAAATTCTTTAACTCCATTTTTGTCTTTTCACCTCCCCACTACCATTAACCCTCCCTTATTCAATTCTCTAAAACCACTACTCCCCTTTCCATTCTCCAAAATTGTCAGCACCCTTTCCTCACTTCTTCCATTCGTCTTCTTCGCCTCCCTTTAATATAGAAACCAGAATTCTCTAGCCGGTTGTCTACCACTTCCTTCTTAAAGTCTAGTGCTACTACCTCCCTCCTTCTCATTCTCCTTTGGCGCCATCCTTAACCCCTCTCTATGCAAGGATCCTTCTTTCCCCTGTTTTGTAAGTTTCTTCCTCTTCTTCTTTTCTTTCCTCTACTTTTTTCTTGTTTTGAGTTAATGTTTTGTTTAAGGTTTATTTGCTTTTTTGTTTAGTTGTTTTAGTTAGTTGTTGGGTGGGTTTCTTTTCAATTTAGATTATGGTTTCATAGCATTTAGGCTATCTAGTGATTCACAGTGCATTCTATTTTTCAAACTTAGATTAAGAAATTATCTATTTATATTAGGTACAACATCTAGTATATATCTAAGCAAATGTTGTATGCAATTTTTTCCCCTACAAGCTTAGGTTTTTTCTTAATGCTACTGCGTCTAGCCCATAATGGACTAGCAGCCGTAGCATGCTATGGCTTCAATCCCATTTCGGGCCTGAAGCCATACTACCTAGATTATAAAAAAAAAGTTCCCCTTCTCTCTATATTTTCGTTAGCACGCGCCCTCCATCTTTAGTAGTTTAGTCATCAGCTCTGGCTTTTTCTTGCCCTATTCCTCTATATCTATCTCCATGGGTGGTCTAGTGGGTCTCGTCGGAAGCTTAATCAGTGTCCTATGGGTCTCGAGCTGATCGTCTTGCCTTCCTCTTGTTCTATCTTTAAACTAGTTGAGGGTCTCGCCTTCTTCGTTCTGTCTTCAAGGTGGCGTTGGTTTGAGCAAGTTCATGGGTCTCACCTTCTTCTTTATCTACCTTCAAGTAGCAGTTGGAATCTTCCTTCATCGCCTTTTGGGTATCACCGAAGCTGCTCTGTTCTTTCCTGTTCACCTTCGTCAATGATGCCTTAGGTCTTGTGCATCTTAGTGCCGTGCGTTGACAGTAATTTGTTTGAAGCTTAGGTTCTAGTGAGTATTTTAGTTTTTCTGATCATTTTGGATTGTTGCTGAAATTGAAAATTGTTTGATCTGTTAAAGAATCTTGTGCTTGCCGTGTACTTTGTTCATTTGTTTTTTTTGTAAATTGCTTCTGTGGGATTTTCCACCATCTCTTGTTTATTGTACATAGAACCAGTTATCTGGGGCTACACAGTCCTCCTTCCCCTCTTATAATGGTTCGATGAGACCTTCCAGTTGCGGTAGCCAGGTACATCCAGGTATGGCTATCATTCTGCTAGTTAATTCTTATAAGCAGCAGGTTTGCTTTATATCTTTTGTTTTCCATTTTGTACTTCTAATATTGCTTTAAATCTTTATAGAATTTTTTGGTGTGTTACTTTTTCGAGAAGGTATTATTTTAGGTCATCATAGTATAAAGGGAAGGACAATATGTTAAGAGAGCGAAAAAGAAGCCTACACAATTTAAAGGAGATTAGTCAATGAGAAGAATCGTTGAAAGTGCATGGGAAATTATATAAAGTTGTCTAGGGAGAACTATCAGGACTAAGCCTGCAATTTGAATGTAATTTTAATAAAGCCAGTCCGTTGTGTCTAGATTCTTTTGTAAATACTCCCCAAAATTTTATTGGTAGAAATTTTATTTCTTTTATTGTATATCTCCTTACCATTATAAAGTGTAATAATCTAAATCTTTCTGTTTTGTTATCAATGATTGTCAATTATCAATATTTCTTCTATTTAATCTCTCTGTAATTCTTTTTGTTCTGTGTCTAAAACAATCAATATCTCAGAGGTTTCAACTTCTGAAGTTTGTATGCAATCGTCAGATGAGTTAAGGCAACATGTTATTGTTACTTTTCTGAATCATTTCCAAGTTCTTGAGGCTTTAAAAAGTGGTCTGATATTTGGAAGCTTTGATTCTGATTTTGATAAGAAGGAGATGTTTAGCACAACTAGTGGTTACAATAATACTTCATCTGCTCTTCATCCTTCTCAAAGGAGTGACAAAACTGCTACTTCTAGATTTGTGGTTAATGTATGCTATTTGGTGTGCATGTTAACTTTTCAGATTTTTCTGTCTCCCTGTCTCTCTCCGTCTATGTCTCTCTTTGTCTCTATTCCCTTCTCCCTTTTATGGACTATGCCTTTAAGCTGGCAGGGACTGCATGTGGGCTAGGGTTGAGACTTGTCTTATCTTTCCTGTTATTGTTGCTGGAAAGTGGGAAATTTCTCTCTTAGAACCTCTCAGACCTTGTTCAAGATCTTTGGTAGCCGAGAGTCTGCATTATTGTTTCCCCCCTTGATTTTAGGTGTCATTGTGCCATGGTGTGCTACCATTATCTCTATTTTGATGGTACTTCATGTTTGGTTGTAGTAATCAAAGTCCATCATCAACTGCTCCTGGTGATCATTCTGATCATTCACATTCTCCATCTAATCTTATTGAAAAGCCATCAGTTTCAGAAGTTAATGTTGTCTCTAGTACTGAACCAAAGGCTGATAAGCCAAAGCAGGAGGCATTGTTAGCTCCATTGGAGGTATTCTTGAATTTAACAAAATTAGAATAGGAGGTGATGTATAGCAAGTTGTGCACATTTCTTTTTGTTAAACATACTAATACTAGCTCCATACTTTTGTTAACAATTTATAAGTATGTTTGGTTTGGTTGTATAAATACGTTGTACATTGGTGGTTATATTTAATATGAGATATAGTTGGCTGTATTAATAACAGGTTTCTAAGTACAGTTAATATTTAAATAAAAAAACTACCACGTTAGAACCTACTGCTTCTGTTGCACTGTCACAGAAGCCATAAGTTTATACCTTCTGTTTCAATTATCCACAACTGAAGCCATATGCAGGCAACCTACAACTTCTTCACTTATCCACAAATAAAGCCATATACAGGCAACCTACAGCTTCTCTTCTATAAGAACAAAAGCCGTAGGGGGTATCTTCCGCTACAGTTGCTTCTACTACAGTAGATATATAGCAGTGAAAGGTTGTTTTTAACAGAAGTTAAAAGGGGTATTTTGTACTACTGGTAGCTCAGATCCATTCCCAGTTGAGAAGCTTTAGAGTTCTATGTGTGGTGTCACATCCAGCATTATGATAATTAGAAATAAGAAATATTCTCAAATTATTGAGGATTAAAAATAATAAGGAGAATTTTGGGTGGAAAATAATTCTAGTGGTTTTCCAAGCCAAAAATAGGAATTTGACTAAATAAGGAAAAATTGTTCAAATTCAAATAAGGAAAAATATTTCCAAGCCTTGGAAAATTAAGAGAAAATGAGGATAATATCCTTTGAGAGTTATATGAAATTATAAAGTTGGTTTTATGACCAAATTACCCTTAGATAATTCATAAGAGAATTTAAGGGTGATTTAGGCTAATTAAGGGATTTTATTTGGAAAATTCCAAATAAATATTTTTAAGGGGAATAAAATTTTGAGAAAATTCCTATGAGATCCCAAGGAATTATGAGGAATTATGGAATTAAATGAAGACCCTCAAGTATCCAAGATTTTTCCAAATAATGATGAAAAGTGGAAAAATCCCTAAAGAGAAGGAAATTAATTTTCCTTTTTATTTAATTATTAGGAAATTAATTTGGAGACAAAGAGGGCAATTTGGGAAGATAATAATGAGGAGAATAAACTAAGGATCTGACAGAAAATAATTACAGAGACTAAGCTACTGTAATTATAGAAAAGAAGTTAAACTCAAAGCCTAAAGTATACTGATAAGGCAAGATTGGTATCTTGCAAATCCAAGGGATCATATTGAGCCATGTGTCAAGCTCTTGAAGGAGAAGATTTGAATTTGCCAAGTGTCATTCCTCAAATGGAGAGGATATTGACTTTAGTAAATAATTTCATTTGGAATTTTGTTAATTATGAAAGAGAAATCAAGATTTAGTAAGGTAATGACACTTGGACTATCATTAAAGAAGGTGGTTGAGATATTTTGAAGCATTAATCAAGCTTTTCTCTGCCCTATTTTCAAATGTAAGTTTCGACCAAGGGAGAAAATAAGAGAAAAAGAGAGAGCTTGAGAGAAAAACAAGAGGAAGCAAGCACCTTTGGTCATTCAAGCAAGGATTCAAGGTGAGTTCATGGTTTTAGATGTGTCTTGCTTTCTTTTCTTCCCTTTTTATGGTTGAAAAATTTATCTTCTCCCTCTTTTGGTGGCTGGCCAAACTGGTTGTTTAAGGGGAAAGGGAGTTTTGCTCATCACACTTGTTAAAATACTACAACACAAGTTAGATCTTAGTGTTTGCAAGTGAGTTTAGGTTGTTTTAAAGCATTTTTCATGGTTGTTTTCTTGAGTGATCATTTTGGCCAAGTGAAGGACTGAACCCTAGAATGAGTTTTTCAATGTTTTAAGGCTTCCATGATGCTTAAAATGAGGAATGGTGTAGGGTAGACTAAAAGGAACAAGTGTTGGAAGCTTAAAAGCAAAGTTGTGATTTTTGGTTTAAAACCTCTAGTGGTTTGGTCAGGTTGTGGTTGGAAGAAGCAATTTTATTTCTCTAAATCTAAGCTCATATTTGGAATCTACATGAAAAACCATGTAGGACTAAGTCAAGAAGTGATTTTTAGGGTTTAAAAGAACCAAGTTTAAAAATAGTGAACAAAGGAGGGAGCTTTATGGTTCAAGAATCATTTTGATTTATGTTCTTACTTTTTCATGGTTGAATAATGATTCTTGCTGCCCCTTTTGATGGATTGTATGGTTAGGGTTTGATATTTGTAAAGGAAAAGAGGAGAAGGAAGAAAAGCTAAAGCTTTTGGAGCAAGGTAGTATGTTAAACCTAGCTACTACCACTAACTAGCATTATTGATTATTGTATGGTTAATTACTATTATTGTGGTTAAGCTTTCTTGATTGTTATGTGGCTGCTCTTTATAGTATCTTGCTTTGGCCTTTGCATGTTTGAGTTTGCCAAATGATAAGTATGTTAGTTCACCAATAGTAGGTAATGTGATCATGCATAATAATGATGCTTGCTTGGTGCTATAGTTGGTTAATTTGCTACTGGGATTTCCATGAAATTTCATTCCACAATGAAATATAACATTTTAGGGCCTAAATCCTCCAAGGGAAAGCTATAGATTGAAGGCTAATTTCTGGGGTTTAGCCACAAAAATTCGTGAACTCATTTTGGTTATCTATATATTATACTAACAGTGCTAGAAGCACACTGACACTGACTGGTTCACATGACTTTTTGATTATGATCCCGAACGCGTTTAATCATGAAATTTGGCATGGTGAAAGATAATGTCCTAACCTTCAATTTTATACCTAATACGTTAAAAATGGCCAAGTATACGATTTTTAATGATTTTTCAAAGTTAAAGGTCAGAATCTGGAAAAAGGGTTTTTTGGCAAATGGACAGTGTTGTATTTCTCAAAAACCTGATGCTTTTTCAGAAGGAATTGGACAATGAGATTATTTTTTGTTGAAATAGGACTTAAAGATCTTTAAGTATAATTTTGAACCACCCCAATTAGATTTTTTTAGAATAAGTTATGAATTTTTGAAGTTGGGTCAGAAAAACTGGATTTTTACCCAATGAACAGTAAAAATATAAAATTTAGTGTTTTTGTGGTAAAAAGTGAGCCCAAGACCATCCAATGTGGTCAAAATGATTTGGAAAAGAACCTAAATCAATATAATAGTAAGGTGTGACATGTGGCTAGGCGTTTTTCTTCCTCGTGAAGGTGTAGCAATGGCTGGAGTTCAGTGAGCTGAAAAGGGGAATAGTTTAGTCCTAGTTTAGCTATGAATTTATGAATTTCTAGGTTTAGGATTTTTAATTTGTAGTTGAACTACCTGATTATAGTTGTAATCAGATTGGATATCCATTTATGTAGTGGATTGGTTAATGTAGACCTTTGAACTTAAATATATATAGTATCATATATCTCCATTTTTGATCTTTTGATTCTCTCTACTCTTACATGATTGTGTTTTGATATTGTGATTCTAATTGCATTTGACTTGTTGCATCGATCAATCTTTCTACACACACTAAGGGCATTTAACAAGATCATGAGAAATAGAGTCCCATTGCTAAAGATCGTGGACTTAGATAGTACTTTAAAGTTTACCATTTTGAAACTTAGTGATTTCTACTCCCATATAAATCAGTTTTGAACTATGATATTCTGAGCACACTTTCAAGAGGACTCTATCATTGTTTGATAATCTACTTTTCATCATTCTATTTCTTACATCTCTAAAATCCAAAAATATTTTTATCATTCAGTTCAATTCACTTAATGTTTTTAAAAACCAAAACCCCCTTTTTATGTTCAGTATGCATTGCATGGCATTCAAGTTAGCTTAGACCCATTTCAAAGGCTTCAATCAAGTGAAACGACTCAGGGCTATAACTTATAGTGTAATCCTTGGATAAAATTTTGATTTAACCTCCAAGGGTTGGAAAAGGTTGTGAATCATTAAGAAAGGTGTGGTGATTATAACGAGATGACCAAAGGTCCTCTTTTAAAGGTTGTGTGATATCTTCTAATATTACTACAATTTAAACATTTATTTACTAATACCACAGAAGCAAAGAACTTGATGTTAGGATTATGGTTTTGATGATAACAAAGTTAGATTGAATTGGTTAAGTGTGTTGATCGATCATCTGATCGATCAAATGATTATCGATAAGCTGTCAGATAACTCTTCAGTGTAAATCAGTTTAATGTTAAGTATTTTAATCGATGAGCTGTTCAATAATTCATTGATCGATAAATTGATTGATTATCGCTAACGTAAAAGTCATATAAGGTAACTATCGATTATCGATAAATTGATCGATAATCCAAGATGATCGAACAAGTGACAGATAAAAAGAAGTGAATCTGAACTGACTTTATCGATCAAGTGATCGATAAATACTTTATTGATAACGAC